AACAGTAAACATGAATAACATTGAAGGTGAACAAGTACAAGCACAACAAGCGCCAGATCTCAATGCTATTGTAGCTGTACTACAACAACTTTAACAAAAAAATCAAGCCCTTTGTGAAGAGAATGCTGCTATTTGAGATATGCTTAAGCAGTTCCCAAATCAGGATAGTAGGAAATTTTTGCAAAAAGAACCCAAAATGGATCTCCCAGACAAATTCAACAGATCTCGAAACAAATTCAGAGAATTTTTGAATCAAGTTCGTCTAATTATCCGTATACAACCCAACCATTATCCCACAGGTGAAACTCAAGTAGGCCTCTTAGGAAGTCTGCTCATAGGACCTGCTTTGTTTTGGTTCGTACCCTTATTAGAAAGAAACTCTCCAGTACTTGAAGATTTCGAAACCTTAATTGCAGAATTTGAGATAATATTTGGTGATGCAGATAAGGCCAGAACTGCTTCGAACAAAATTCAAAAACTTTCTCAAGACCCTAGGCTAGCTGCCACTTATGCCTTAGAATTCAGACAAATCACTAGTGATCTTGATTGGGGTGAAGCAGCCCTTATAAATAAATTCAGGGCGAGTCTTCGGGATGATATTAAAGACCTACTTCTATCAATAGAGGATCCAACAGACTTAAACGATACCATAACAAAAGCTGTGCGTTGTGATAATTGTTTATTTGAAAGATGCCAAAAACAGCAACAAAATACTTACCAAAGTTGGAACCAACTGACTAATACCAACAAAATCTCGGGTTCATCTCCTGAACCTATACAAATTGATAATATTCAACCAAGAACACTGACGGAAGCTGAAAAAAAAAAGCGGCGTACCTATAATCTTTGTCTCTACTGTGGCAATCCGGGTCACATAGTAAGGAGCTGCCCCAAGAAAAGTAGACAGCAACATAAAATCAGTAGTGTTGAAGCAATAAATCTGGAAGAAATTTCAGGAAAAGAGGAGTTCCAACCACAGTAGGGGAACTGTGGTTGGATGCTAAGTTTGCCCCAAACTTTGAAATTAACCTTACTCATACTCCGGTAGCTGCTTTTACTATACAAGTACACCTCCTATTCCCAAACCAATCCCAAATACCAATTAACACGTTAATAGACTCAGAGGCCTCTGCTTGTTTTTTAAATTCAGCATTGGCCCAAACTCATAACTTACTATGCAATAAAAAGGAGCTATCTTTGTCCGTTGAAGTAATAAATAGATGGGAAATCTCTTCAGATGTGGTTACTTACGAAACAGCCCCTTTACTACTTCACTACATGGACCACGAGGAGAAAATAGCATTTAATTTAATTTCGTCTCTTCACCATAAAGTAATATTAGGTTTACTTTGGTTAATTTCTCACAATCCTGTCATTAATTGGCGGGAACGTGTTGTGATATTTCCTGATCCTGCCTGCATACACCATTGTCAAAGTTCTTTATTGACTAAGACCCGCATGAGTAATTGTGTCGGTTCTGAGAAACGAATTTTTATGGCCCAAATCTTCCACATCGCCTTCTTCAATAACGAAGCATCATTTCCTGAACAAACTCTTTCAGGACAATATCTAGACTTCCGAGATGTGTTTGATGCATGAGAAGCGAGTAAATTGCCCAGGTACCAACCCTACGATTGTACTATTGATTTGTTACCAGGTAAACAACCACTATGGGGCCTATCTATGAACTGTCAGGACATGAATTGAAAACTCTAAAGCAATATATAGAAGAACATCTAGAAAAAGGATACATTCGATATTCTAAATCTCCGGCAAGGGCTCCAATTCTGTTTGTTAAGAAAAAAGATAGTTTTCTACGACTATATGTAGATTATCGTGGATTAAACCAAGTTATCATCAAAAACAGATACCCATTACCCCTTATCTCAGAATTGCTACATCGTCTATTTTCTGCTTGAATCTTTACTAAGATTGATTTTTGCGGAGCATATAATTTAGTAAGTATTAGGCTGAGTGATGAGTGGAAAATGCTTTTTGCACCTGTTATAGGCATTTTGAGTATATGGTAATGCCTTTTGGACTTACCAATACCTTAGCCATCTTCTAACACATGATGAATAATATTTTCTGTGACTTCTTTAATGTCTTTGTTGTCATATACTTGGATTATGTGCTGATTTATTCTGCGATACTAGAGGAGCATGTTACCCATGTAAAATTAGTCTTGGAATAGTTATGTCAATTTGGATTGTATGCTAAGCTAGAAAAATGTGAGTTTGATCAGAACAATGTAGAGTTTTTAGGTTACAAAATATCATCATCTGGAATCCAAATAGATCCTTCCAAGGTTAAAAGTGTGCTTTCTTGGCCCATACCTTCGAGTTTGCAGGAGGTACAGCGCTTCTTAGAATTTGCAAATTACTACAGGAATTTCATCAAACATTATTCAAAATTGGTTACCTCTTTCACCAACTTAACAAAAAAGTCCCAAGGGGAGTTACAGTAGTCATCATTAGTACAACATACTTTCGAAGAACTTAAACGGGTTTTTACTACAGCTCTACTTCTCATTTATGGAGACCCTACTAAACAATTTTTTCTCAAAACTGACACATCAGATTATGCACTCGGTGCTGTGCTTTCACAATATCAGACAGATAAAAATCTTCACCCCATTGCCTATTATTCACGTAAGTTTACACCTGCTGAAATTAATTATGATGTCTATGACAAGAAGCTCCTAGCTATCGTTGTTGCGCTCAAACAATAAAGACATTATTTAGAGAGTACCCAACATAAAATCATAGTTTACTGTGATCATAAGAATCTTTAATATTTTACCTCTGCTCATTTTCTTAATCGATGACAAGCCTGTTAGTCGCTTGTTTTATTCAATTATGATTTTGAAATAGTGTTTAAACTCGGAAAATATCTTGAAAAAGCAGACGCCCTTTCAAGAAGGTCTGATTATAAACACAATCTGGTGAAGATACAATGCCTCTACTGCACCCAATGCTAGAACCAGAAAGGATATGTCTTAACACTTTAGTATTCTCTCCGGTAGATACGACCTTGCAAGATCGAATTCGTTTTCAATTAAAAAATGACTTATTAGCTCAGAATATCATCAAATATCTCCATCACCCAGAAGAAGCCCAAAGTAGTTCTCGTACTGATTATTACAAGTTTTCATATGAAAATGGTCTACTTTATCATGACGAGTTGTTGTACGTTCCCTGTATACCAGAAAAAGTTAAAATTCTCCAAATACGACACAACTCTAATATGGCTGGGCATTTTAGGGTAATGAAAACAGTGGAATTGGTAACCAGAGATTACTGGTGGCCAAAACTCCAGACTTTCATATGAAAGTATATTAGTACCTGTGATAAGTGCTTTAGGTCCAAGACACCGAAGCATCGTCACCAGGGCTTTTGGTACACTTCTTGTGCCTTCAAACCCATAGCAATCTATATCTATAGACTTTATCACTGACTTATCCGCATCATTAGGCTTCGATTCAGTTTTAGTTGTAGTTGATCGGCTAACAAAAATGGTCTATTTTATTGTCTGCAACAAAACAATTAACGCAGAACAAACAGCAAACTTAATACTTAAAGAAGTAGTTCATCTCTATAGTATTCCAGAGAACATAGTGTCGGATAGAGGACCTCAGTTCATCTCGAGGTTCTGGAGACATCTGTTTTAACTTCTGGGAACCAAAATTAATCTATCTTCTGCGTTCCATCCTCAGTCTGATAGACAAAACGAACGTGTGAATCAAGTTTTAGAGCAATACTTAAGGTGTACTATAAACTACCAACAAGATGATTGGAATAACTTTAGCCAAATTTTCCTACAACAACTCACTTCATACTTCTACTAAGAAAGCACTGTTTTTTGCTAATTATGGGTTTAATCCCCATTTTGACATACATATACCCCTTGATTCATCAGTTCTCTCTGCAGAGGATAAGGCAATTCAGTTACAGCACATTAAAAAGAGTCTTATTCAAGAACTAGAAGCTGCCCAAAAGTGTTACAAGTATTATACAAACCAGTCACGTCAGAATGCCTCAATTTTCAAAACTGGCAACCAAGTTTGGCTGTTGTATCGTAATATTCATACTTAACGCTTATGTGAGAAGTTGGACTATCAAAGATTGGAGCCCTATGAAGTTTTAGCCCAAATCAACCCAGTCACCTACCGTTTGTCTTTATCCTGCTCTTTTAAATTCATGATGTGTTTCACGTATCTCTCCTTGAGCCCTATCTTACCAATGACATACCTGGTAGGCAACCTTCTCTGCCTCTACCTGTTGCTATTAAAGGTGAATTAGAATATGAAGTTAATAAAATACTTGATTTGAAAAAGATTCAGAAAAAACTGTATTACTTAGTTGATTAGAAAGGTTATGATCCAAATGAGTACTTTTGGGAACCAGCAGAGAATGTTGCAAATGCTCAAGCAGCTGTTCAAAGCTTTCATCAGCAGTATACTAAGAAGCCTGGTCTGAAAAAGTCTGTGGGAAATCTGAGAAGGAATGGCATTAAAGAAGGAGATAATATCATAGTTAACAAGGCTAAAGCCCCAAACCTATCAAGTCTCAAGCCTATGATTCCTTCTCATGATGTAGTATACAGTATGCAGATTGGGTCTCAAGTCCTTGACCTGTTACTAAATAATTAATCGGGTCTCAAGCCCCGACCCGATATTATATTAATTAATTAATACTGTATATTGATTATTGCGTAATGTTATCGTCGTATAAGAAATGTAGTCATAAAATAGTAATTAGTAAATTATAATATTCATATAAGAAATGTAGTTATAGGATCGTATATAATAAAGAAAAGACATTAGATATTAGTAAGCATATTAGTTTAGCGATTATAATAAAAAAAGCGAAGGGAATGTACTTTTGCCTTAGTCTGTTCAATAAAATTATTCTGATCCTGCTTTGCTACTATACTTACCTACCCCAAGTAACATTATTAAGTTCGTTCATTACACTTGGACTTTTCTACAGGGTTTCATATCCGATTATAGCCCCTGTAGGTTAAAGAAACAAATTATTAATTTGCCTCCAGCCTAACTTGAATCATTGACCTTGTCTGTGGGGTTTGGGAGCTTAACCAATAAGTTATGGAACCCAAACTCTAAATAATATTATAATTATTAGTTGATAATTAATTAAAAACTAGAAATTTTTTATTAGTAATCTTGCTAGTAACTTTATTAAATTCAAATATATATAAGAATATATTTAACTATTTAAGCTATAGATTTAATATTATTTAGCTGTTTTATTGAATACAGTCACAGTCATAAGTATCCCGCCCTGTATAACTTGGCACAGCAAACAGATAAATAAAAATTTTTTTTT